CAGCAGGAAGGGCCAGAAAGGGCCGGAGACCTGGACCAATAAATTTGATTTTGAGGGCCCAGGAGTACAGGGTGATTTCTGTTAACACCAACCCTGTCGATGTTCCTGACATGCACAGCTATAGCTTGAAAGTCGAAACTGCCATAGAGAAAGGTTCTCAGACTATGACGTGGCCCATGAAACAGTGAGGTGGCTGATATTCAATCGCTGACCCCTCTGATTCCCACTGGAAAACCTGTCCAAGGCCCCCGATGTAAACGGCAGTCACAGGTATACCAGAAGGGTACAGTGGTCAGGGCTTCTTTTAGGCTGAGGAGGGCCTGGGAGACAGGGAAGCGAGAACAGGCTTCTCCAAGTGAAACCAGACAGGGGAATCTGGTGGTAGCTGAGACTGACAGCTGACACCCACAGGCTCTCCCAGGGCTCCAGGTTAGACCCTGGGAGGAGCAGCAGGACAAGCCCCAGCCTTCAAAAGCAGAGAGTGAGAGGTGAGGCTGGAAGCCATGCTCACATGTAGAGGGGTCTGGTGGTGGGAAGTAGGTGTGGCCAGACACTGTCAGCCACTGCCAGCCTCCTCCAGGCACTAGATGGGGACCTAATAGCACTTACCGCCCCCTCTGGTTCCCCATCCCTCGGTCTCACCATGGTGGAGCTGAGACTCAGGCTGGCTCTCTTCGCCTGCTCCCAGACTGGGGAACTCTGAAAGACAGAGAGAGACATGCTATGGGGACACAGTGGGCTGGCTGCTATGGGGACCAGCTCTGGCCTGGTGTCTGATTCAGGGCTCATCCCATGTAGCAGCTGGGGACTCAGCAAGGAAGATCGAAAGTTAACACCCCATTTTCTTTCTTTCTTTCTTTCTTTCTTTCTTTCTTTCTTTCTTTCTTTCTTTCTTTCTTTCTTTCTTTCTTTCTTCCTTTCTTTCCCTTTTTCGGAGAGGATTTTGCTATAGGGCGCATGCGCTCACCAGACAGACAGAGAGAGATGGAGAGACAGAAAGCGAGAAATCTCCTCCCAGGGGGAGTGGCCACGCCGCAATCCCTTCTCCTCCATTCTCCTCTTGGGATCTTGGGCACGCATGCACACGCGCCCGGCGTGAGTTTAAGCCATCGGATCTGGGACCCGAACCGCGGTCGACTACGTGGGAGTCCAGCGACATAGCCATTACGCTAACTGCTGGTCCCAACGCCCCATTTTCTGTGTGGAGGAAGCTGGTGGGAAGCCTTGAAGGCAGTGGTGAGCAGAAATGTGTGTGTGAGCATACAGGTGTGCATGTGCAATGTGCACGTGACACTCGTATACATGTGTATACATTGTATATGCACGTGTGTGTGTCTGTGTGTATGTACTTCCTTCACCCCTTGCTTTTCTTACCATCTGCCTTGTTCTAGAGTTATTCAGTGAATTCGTATTTTCTCTCCAAGGACACTGTTGTCCCTAAATGTCCTGTTTCCCTCAGATGTGTGCAAACAAACGGTGGCCAAGAAATGTCCATCAAACTGGACAGAGTTAAACCTGCCTACTGTTGAAACAGGTTGGAAGGGCCCACCCATTAAGGGCTATTTGGAATTTTCTGGCTAGGATCATATGCATCCTCGTTCTGAGTGACTGGAGTGGAGCCAAGGGTGCAGAAGGGGTCTCCCAGGCCCAGGTGGTTTTGTGGCACAGGGCACTGGCTCTGGAGTGCCCAGAAACACAGAAGCTTGTTTGGAGTTCAGCCATGACCTCTCTGTGTGGCTCAGGTGGGTCTCCTGCCTACTCCTACCTTCTTCGTGGCCCCACATGCTCAGCAGCGGCACCTCCAGTTCCAAAGGCACCTCCAGCTCCATGCACACACAGTGGATGAATGACTGCCAGGTGGCCCGGCCTTGGGCACGCAGTCTGCTCAGCTGGAAGATGACCCTCTGGGTAGGGTCTGGGGTCTCGTTCTCGGAGCCCAGGTCCATGTTGGGGAGGAAGAACTTCATCTTGGCGCTCAGCCATTCTAGGTCTTCGCTGAGCAGTCTCACAAGCCAGCCCCACCGGTTCCTGGTGCCCAGCTGCAGGCTAATGGGGTCCATGAGGTGCTGACCTGCAGTGACAAGGTAAGCCAATGACCAGGGGGCAGGTGAACCATGGCGAAACCAAGTGGCCACCTCCCACAACCACTGGCAGAAAATAGGCAGTAACTGCAGTCTCCATGGAGCATGCAGTGAGTACAGTATGTGCAGTGAGTGCACTTCACTGGACCCAGTGCGTGCCATGAGTGCAGTGCATGCACTGCATGTAGTAAGAGCCACGAGGGATCCAGTGCATGCAGTGAGCGCAGTGCATACACTGGATCCAGTGTGTGCAGTGAGCGCAGTTGTGCACTCACTGCATGCACTGCACGCACTGCACACACTACGCATATTGGATCCATTGCACTCACTGAGTGCACTGCCATCACTGTGGTCACTGCATGCACTATGCACATTGGATCCACTGCACTCACTGCGTGTACTGCACACACTGCAGTCACTGCACACACTATGCACATTGGATCCACCGCACTCACTCCACGCACTGCATACACTGCAGTCACCGCACACACTATGCACATTGGATCTACTGCACTCAGTGCACGCACTGCACGCACTGGATCCAATGCACTCACTGCACTCATTGTAAGGTAAGTCTGGGGAGAGAGCTGTCTCAGCAGTAGGAGGGGTGTGAAAAAATGGATGAGACTGGGAGAGAGGTGAAGGGGAGAGAAAAATCACCTACTTGGCTTCCTGGTTCATGATAGATGTTCTAGGTTCCCTTGAAGAGGGTCTTATGGGTGTTCAGGCCATGTCCTGTGCCCTGAGCTGGATTTACAAGCCGACTCCGTAATGCAGGCCCCTAAGGAGAGAAGAGACACTACTGCAAACTCCAAGAGAAATGCGACAAGGCGTCAAACTTTCACCTGACTGCCAAAAACACTGCCAAAGGACACTCAGCCCAGAAACGGTGCCCTGGGCTTCACGTACAGATCTGTTCTCCTCACCACAGCTCTGCATGTCCCTGGAATTCACATAGCCTAACCCTCTCTGATGTCATCTCCATGTACACGTGGCCCAGAGCACACCCCTCTTCATCCTCCAGTGTAGATAGTCACCTCACAGTGGCCTGTGACGTCACAATGCATCCTGCAAATCCAACAGGTTTATTCTCATTAATTTACCCAAACGAAAATGGAATAATTGAAGCCAGCATGTGGTGTGATGGTTAAAGTGGCTGGATTCCCACATGCCTACCCCATTTTGAGGCCCAGACCCAGAGGCTTGAAACTCATGTTGGGCCTGTGTATGTATGTGCAAAAGCGAAAACTATCCTCTGGGGGAATGGCCATGCCACAATCCCTTCTCCTCCATTCTCCTCTCAAGATTTTGGGCACACACACACACGTGCCTGGCATCAGTTTCAAGCCTCTGAGTCAGGGACTCGAACCATAGTTGGCCATGTGGGAGTCCAGCACCTTAACTACCAGGACACCTGCTGGCTCTATGATTCCCTTTAAATAAGATGTCCAGAAAAGGCAAATCTATGGAGATAGTAAATAGATTAGTCATTGTCTGGGCCTGGGAGTAGGAATAAGGATCATTGTAAATGATTATGAGAAATATATATATTTTTTTGGAGTTTTCCAGAGAGACAGAGACAGAAAGCAAGAAATCACCCCCAAGTGGGGATGGCCACACCACAGTCTTTTCTTCTCCATCCTCCTCCTGGGATCTTGGGCACACATGCACATCCACCTGGGATGAGTTTGAAGCCACAGGATCTGGGACCTGAATTGCAGTTGGCTATGTGGGACTCCAACAACTTAACCACTATGCCATCTGCTGCCCAGGTATGAGAAACCTTTTGCAGTGATAAAAATGCCCTGAAACCGGGTTGTGGTGATGAATGCATAATCCAGTAACTTTATGAGAAAACATTGTATCATACAATTAAAATGGGTAGCTTTTATAATATGTAAATTACACTTCGATAAAGTCATTGAAAAAGTAATGCAGTCTAGGGAACCAGCTAGCGGCATGGTGATTAAAGCAGATGGATTACACGTAGCCGACCGTGCAGTTCAGGTCCCAGACACAGCAGCTTGTAAAACATACTAGGCATGTACGTGAGCATGCCCACAACCCTGAAAGGAGGGAGACATGGAGGGGAAGGCATTGTGGCCTTACGATTCCCCATAGAGGGGGGTGCTTTCTCACTTTCTCTCTCTTTCTCTCTCTCTCTCCAGTGAGCACATGCACCTTCTGATACATTTTTTTAAAGCAGTATAAACTAATGTATTAAAATAAAACATTTTATCATCATTAAAATTATTTTCTGTACAGAAAAAAATAGCATCAAACAAAATGAAAGCAACAATCTGGGAAAACCATACCACATGTGACAATAAGCTCATTTTCTTCATGTAACAATGACTAATTGATAAGGAAAACAAAACAACCACACTGAAGATACAGCCAAGGATATTAAATGATGACATTAAAAAATTCAATATATGCTTAAAATCACTCCAAATGAATGACCATAAATAAACATTATCTATACAGGAACATGCATCCCTTTGTCAAATGGAGAAAAATCTGAAACATTAATAATATCCCATGATGGTGAGATGGGAAACAAACCATTGTCTCCATTGCTGGCGGGGTAGTAATGGTTCCGATCCTTTAGAAGGGTGTAGCAGGCAGCTCTGGGGCCATGCCCATGTTTTCTTGAGTTTACCAAAGCGTACCTGACTCACTTTCCAACCATCAGCACCTTGCTCCTTGTCTGAGGACTTTCTCAGGCCTTTTGATCCAGCTTCCTGGACAAAGAGCCAAGGAATTAATTTCTCCTCAGCCAATAAGGAGTGGTGTCCAAGTCCCATGGCTCCTTCACTCCTCACGTTCGATAATTCTGGGGGGTGTGTATGTTGTATCGGGCTCACAGAACTTTCCAGGAGGACTGCTCCAGATGCCCACAGTGTTAACTTGTTTCACAACACATCAGTCTCGGTTGCCTTGCCTTCCCATCTCAATTCCCCGCTCTCCTACAGGTAATCTCTTGGATCACCTCCCAAATAAATCACTTGTATTTGTCTCAGGGTTTGCTTGTGGGTGAATCCAAATCGAGTCAGAGGAAAATAGGCAATGTGTATCAAATTACAAATACACATGTCCTGCCACTTAGCATTTGCATGTTTAGAACTGTAACTGTGAGGGGCCGGTAGTTGGCATGGTGGTTGGGGCGCCGGACTCCCACATGGCTGATCGCAGTTCGAGTCCTGGACCTGGTGGCTGCTTTCTCACTTTCTGTCTCTGTGTCTGTCCCTCTCTAGTGAATGACTGTACCAAATTAAAAAAATAATAATAATGATTAAAAAAATTCAAACAACTAACTGTGAAATGTCCTTTTATATCCTTTTGGGTTTAATATTTATGTGTGTGTTAAAAGGACAATGCTATAATCCACTAGGAAAGTGGTTGACAAAGTTTCAAAAGTGGCAAATAAATAAAATGACACTAGTAGGGGCTGGCTCCATAGCACAGCAGTCATGCACTGCTCAAGAGAAGCCAGATTGCAGGGGACCAGCAGTTAGCGTAATGGCTATGTCGCTGGACTCCCACGTAGTCGACCATGGCTTGCGTCCCTGACCCGGTGGCTTAAAACTCATGCCGGGCGCATGTGCATGCATGCCCAAGATCCCGAGTGGAGAATGGAGGAGAAAGGATTGCGGCCTGGCCATCCTCCCTGGGGGGTGATTTCTCGCTTTCTATCTCTCTGTGTCTCTCTGTCTGGAGAGCGCATGCGCCCTATAGCAAAAACCTCTCCATGAAAAAGAGAGAAGCCAGATTGCATATGGCCACCCGGGTTCAAATCCCTGCCTGGTCAGCTTGAAACACACTGGGCATGTGCACGAGTGCTCCAGATCCCGTGGGCTGGAGGACTGGAAGGAGGGGATTGTGGTATGACCAGACCTTCTGTGGGTTATCTGTTACGCTCTCTCTTTCTCACTCTCGTGTGCTCATGCACACCTTCTATCATGAATGAGGGAAAGAAACGAGATGAAAACTTACCTGTTTAGAGAGGTAGTCACAAATGCAGGCTTTCCTGTCAAATGCTTGGAACATACTTGGTCCGTTGCAGGAGTGCTCGCCGTGCAGGGCGCCGTGCTAAATGTTTTCATGCACCATCTTCGTCTATTCTTCGCAGCAGGCCATCCAGGTGAGTACTTATGTTATCTCCATTTAACAGGCGGGCCAACCAAGGCTAAGTGATTTGCCCAGGGTGACCAGATTTAAATCCGGGAAGTCAGAATGCCTACATAGAAATACAAGAATACTAACTGCACTCTCACTAAAGCAGCCGGAGACCAGAAACAAGGCAAATATCCATTATTAGGAAATATGTTCTGATACACCTATAGAAAGTAGCCACTTGAAAGACTGATGTATATATAGTGACACAAAAATAGCTTGAAAGGAGAATATTAAATAAATCCTGGGGCCAGCGGGTCATGTGGTGATTAAAGCACTGGACTCCTACATGGCCAATTGCGGTTTGAGTCCAAGACTGGGTAGCTTGCTTTCTCATTTTCTCTCTCGCTTTCTCTGGTGAGTAAATGTGCCCTATAGCAAATTAAATAATAATAATAATTAAAATTAAATAATTATTTTTTAATTCTAATTTTTAAAGCAGCTATGGGGCAAACTGATGGCAAACTGCATGGTTTAAGTCTCGAACTTGGTGGCTTGAAAGACTAAGTATGTGTGCATGCATGCCCTCAATCCCAAAAGGAAGGAGAAATGGAACAGAAGGAATTGCAGCATGACCATCCTCCATGGGATGGAGGAGGTGCTTTCTCACTTTCTCTTTCTTTGTCTCTCTCCAGAGAGACAAATATTTTTAAAAAGCTATAGCATGTGAATGTTTTAAAAGTGTGTATATATTTGTATATGTGGAGACCAATGCTGGGTGACTACACAAGAAACTGGCGATACGATTCTATCTGAGAGTGGAGGTGGGAGATGCAGAGGGAGGAGAACTCTTTACATTGTATTGTACTTCTGGACTATGCTGTATCATTTGACCTCTTTAACATGTGCTTTTCAGTTTAAAAAAATTCATAAAAGCATTTACACTAAAAACAAGAATAGATATTTCCTCTATGTTAAAGGAAGAGAAATACACGATGATGAACAAGCATAAGAAATGACCATTCATGACTCACAAAAATGGAAGTCCCCTAAACGATGTGCAAGAAGAAAACTAGAACAGGAGGAAGGTGAAAGATGACGAGAAATGTCTGCACTAAGTGTGATGAATAGAGACTGGATATCCCAATTAAAAAATATCCATGTCTATTGGAGAAATATTTCATTCTGCTTCTGGGTTTAACACCTGTGTGTGTGTTACAAGGACAATGGTTTTCCTAGTAGAAAGTGGTTGAGCAGACGATACAGTGAGACAAGTGCTAAATGCCAGACAAGTGCCTTTTGGTGTTATCTATTTTAATTCTCTCAAGAACTCCCACTTGGATGCTCATATGTGGTTCAGATTTTCTGAGTTTACAACTGACCCCATAGCCTGGGGATTAAGGGAGCCAGATCCCACATGGCTGACTTCAGTTCGAGTCCTGTCTTGGTGCCTTAAAAGAGACACCAGGTGTATGTGCATACATGCTCCAAAGCACAGAATGGGGAAATAGAGGAGAAAAAGTGGCATGACTACACCCATTGCCGGCTGCTTTCTCTACTCCAGCAACCCCCCGCCCCACCACCACCACCGAATGTGCATGCCCTGTGGCCATTAAAAAAAAGAAAGAAATCCAAGTCCCAAATGAGTTATTGATCTCACGAACTGTTCCTTTCTGCACCTTCCTTCTTCTTTGAGTTCAGGTCAAAGATGGCTTCGTTTTCCAAGCGTGTTCCAGAATCTTGCTTTCCACTACCACCTCCTCAATTTGGTAGCATCATTTCTCACCTGGATTCCTGCGTCAGCCTCCTACCTGGTCTCCCTCATTCTGCACACAGTGGTCAGAGTGTAGCTTTGAAGGCAGTCTGTTCAGGTCCCTTTGCCTCACAGAAACCTCTCACCTCATCCTGAGTAAAAGCCAAAGTCCTTCCCAATTCTGTAAAGTCATTCAGTTTTTAAAGACATCAAACTTGGTAACGTCACAATTTTCATCACTGTGTTGGCTGTTTTCCACTTATTTTTTAATTAACTTTTGGCAATTTATATTATTTAGAAAACTCATTTTTTAAAAAGAATTATGTATTTATTTAATTCCATTTGTTATTGTTAGTTTTTTTGTTTTGTTTTGTTTTGTTTTTTTGACTGAGAGAGGGAGAGAGAGAGAGAGAAAGAGAGAAAGGGAAAGTGAGAAAGCAAGCCACCTGGTCTGGGACTTGAACCATGGTCAGCCATGTAGGAATCCAGTGCCCTTATCTACCACACTGCGTGCTGGCCCCAAAACTCATTTTGTTAATTATCCAAAGGTAGTTTAGCACGCAGTTGTATATAGTATTTTCTGATCATTTTAAATTTCCTCATGTTGTCACATCTTATTTATTTTGTCTCCTCATCATTAGATTTGTGGTTGGTATCTCTTACAAAGGGTCTTCAAAAAGCTCACAGAGAATTATTATTAAAAAGGAAAATCTATGCGTGACTTTCAAATTTTTTTGGTACCAAAATACATGTGTGCTTAAATTCCATTTTTCCTTAGTATTTTTTAAGTCCCCTCAGACCTTTAAGAACAAATTTTGTTTTCATTTATTAATTTTGCTAGAAATTTCTCCTTTCTTATATTGTAATTTTTGTTTTTATCTTTGGATTTCTTTGATTTACTGAGGTTGTTATTCTTTAAACTTAAGAGTTTTAATGCTGAGGCCGTTTCCAGTCTTTTGTTGTTGTTTTTTATTAAGGTTTTTCCTATAGGGTGCACGTGCTTGCTAGAGAGAGACAGGAAGAGGGAAAGTAAGAAATCATCCCCTAGATGGGATAGCACACCCTAGACAAGATGGCAATGCTGTAATCCCTTGGAATCTTGGGCACGCACACACATATGTGGCTTGAGTTTCAAGTCACCGGGTCCGGGACTCAAACCGCAGTCTGCCATGTGGGAGTTTAGTGCTTTAACCACTATGCTGCCTTCTGTCCCCATTTCTAGTCTTTTCCCTTTAACAAGTAAGAGAAAACATTTTTGGCCAATTTCTATAAGTTTATATCAGGAGTTTATTTAACACTAAGTAGACTAATTAAAATTTGGATCTGAGTCATTTAATAGAGGGTTAGGAAATTTTTTGTTTTACTGTACTATACAAAGAGTATGTCTTATACAATTTCTGCTTTGGGGAATAGCTTGAGATCTTCCCTTTTTTGCTTAGTATATGATAAATTTTAAAATATTCCATAAATATTTAAAAAGTGTTCTTTTTGGATAAAGATGGATTTCTATTTCATATACCAAAATAAAGTCCAGATTGAGCCAAAATTTAAATGTAAAAAGTTAAACCATGAAAATACTAGACAACTATAGGTTCAATTTATAATAATTCATGAAACTGTACATTTATGTTGTATTTTTTCTTTTCTTTTTAGTTGCTAGAGGGTGCATGTGTTTGCCAGAGAGGGACAAAAAGGTAGGGGGGGGGTGGAGGAGAAAGCATGCTCCCCACTTGGGGCATCATCATGCCACAATCCCTTCTCCTCCATTTCTCCATCCTGCTGGCATTTGGGGCACACGCATACACCTGTCGTGTTGCTCACGCTGCCAAGGCTGAGACTTAAACTGCAGTTGGCCATGTGGCATCTGGCTGCTTTAACCATTAGGCTATGGTACTGGTTCCTGTCTGTTATATTTTTCTATGTGTTGTATTTCACAAAAAAGTTAAACGATGTTTAAGCGCTAGAACAAAACACAGGAAAAAGTATTTAAAAAAATAATTTCAGAGCTTGAGCCTGGTCTGGGCAGGCCTTTAAAGCAAGTCCATGTTCAGGATCTGGGATCCACTTTGGAACTTTTGGACTTCATTTTCACTGTCCCAGAAACCTGAGCTCTCTCCACCCACCACCCGCCCAGACTTGAGCCCGGTCTGGGCAAGCCTTTAGGGTGAGTCTGTGTTCGGGGCCTGGGAGACACTTTGGAACTTTTGGTACACCAACCTGTCAAACTGGATCATCTCTGCCAAGTTATATCTCCTTAGCATGCTACCACCTCAAGAACTAATATCTGATAGAGGAGCCAAGCACCTGAAGTTGCCCATAACTGCTCTGACCTGGGAAACACAGCTCTCCACTAGTAACACACCTGGGAAATAAGGGTGACATTTCCTCCACCAGTACTACAGAATCTACTCCAATAAATAGGAAAAAAGTGAATACTGCATCAGATAACTAGAAAACAGCACAGATCTCTAAGAATCATGAGAAAACAAGGGGTACCTCTTCACCAGGTGAGAATAGTAGCTCCTCACCAACAGTGGACAGCACCAAGAAATACACAGAAACGTCAGAAAAAAATTCCAAATATTTATAGTGACAAAACTCACTGAGATGCAAAAGAAAACAGACAATCAGTTCCAGGAAATGCGAAAATTATTTCAGGACATGAAAGAGAAAATTCATAAAGAAATAGACACCCCAAAAAGAATCAAACAGAACTTCTGGAACTAAAGAACATAATAGAAGAAATTAACATCTCCCTAGAAAGTATTAACAGCAGATTAGACCATGCAGAAGAAGGAATTCCTGATCTTGAAGACAAAGTCTCCAGCATAAATGAAATCACTGAAAAGAAGAAAAAAAAAAACCAAAAAAAAAAAAAAAAAAAAGGCAAGGACAGCATATGGGAAATTCTAGACACCATGAAATGTCCAAATATTCATATAATGGTTATTCCAGAAAGTGAAGAATCTGCTAAAGGTATGGAGAACCTCTTTCATGAAATACTATCTGAAAATTTTCCAAATATAGAGAAAAATGGAGAAATTCAGACTCAAGAGATAAAAAGGACCCCAAATAAAATCAATACAAAAATATCTTCCCCCCAGCACATCATAGCCAGATTAGTAAAAATTAAATACAAAGACAATATTCTAAAAATGGCAAGGGAGAAACATCAGTTACTTGTAAAGTCTATTCCATTAGGCTAACATAAGACTGCTCAACTGAAACAATGCAGGCAAGGAAGGGATGGGAAGATGTCTTCAAAACATTAAAAGAAAAACAATTTTAACCAAGAATACTATATCCAGCAAGATTGTCCTTCAAATGGGAAGAACAAAGTAAAGTATTCTCAGATAAACAAAAACTGAAGA